CTCTCTCTCTCTCTCTCTCTCTCTCTCTCTCTCTCTTGGCATGTGTGTGTGGTGTGGGCGTATACCTGTCAGGTACCTTGTACTCCGTTGGCATTTTCGTACAACAGGCTAGTGCATTGTGTTTGTATGTGAAAACATGAGATGCATTGTATGTTCAAATTTCAAACGGTAGCAACCACGGGACAGCCTGCAGCAGTCAACTGAAAGCCTGAAACCTGGGTCTAAGACTGTTATCCGAAGTAGGGATTCTGCTGGCTGTAGGGTCTTATGAGGGCCGTAAACATGCTTTCATTGCACATGCGCGGTATGTAAAAACTTGGTGTGCACAGAGTGCCACAGACCAAACCATGCCTTAGGGACTGTGAGTGATGCCCTAGATCAAATGGACACTTTCTTTAAAAGGAAATTTAGGCATAAATTTTCACAGTTTGCAGCGCTGGCACATCCCTGCGAAGGATGCTGTGGATTTCTGCTGATCGGATTGCCTTCCGTTGACCATTCAACAAATTCAACATCCCTGCGTTATGATCGAACAGTGGCTGGCAAAGATTCAGGGCAGGAGTTGGAGGACTGGATTGTTGAAAAACACGCTTGCATTTTTGTTTTTATTTTCTCCCTCAAAGATATACGATTGCCTCATCTATTCTAGGGGGGCCGACAGGCCGGTCGGCAGCTGCTTTTTTTTTTTTTTGCCCTCAAAGATATATCATTACGTCATCTATTCTGGGGGCCCCGACAGGCCGGTCGGCAGCTGCTTATTACTGGCATGCATAGAACGGTTGTTGAGACAGGAATCATTCAATTAAACACGCTTGCATTTTCAGTCGCCGTGTAATCGTCGATTTCAACGATTTGATAGACCAGTGCACTTCCCTAATATTTTTGTTTCTGTGTGGGTCCTTGTATGTTCCGTGTTTCAGGCCAAGGTGTTAGGGATTGTCGCTGTCTCTTATACACATCTAGATGTGTATAAGAGACAGGCTGTGGTCTGCTGGTGCTGGGTGCCATTGTTGT